TTTTGACAAATTGCTCATCACACCTCTTCTCTCTTCACCTGCAGGACAAGATGTTTCACTTCTGGGTGAACACCTACTTCATCCCTGGACCAGAGGAGAGCGTGGACAAGCTGGAGAACGGGGCGGTGAACAATGCAGACAGCCAGCAGGGGGTCCCGGCCCCGCCGCAGAGCGCTGAGAGCAGGGACAGCGGCAGGGACAGCGGCAGGGACAGCGGCAGGGACAGCGGCAGGGAGAGCGGCAGGGAAAGCGACCGTGACAGGGACAGGGACTACCTCATCCTGACGCTCACCAAGAACGACTTGGACAAGGCCAACAAAGACAAAGCTAACCGCTACTTCTCGCCAAACTTCAAGGTAAGGATTTAAGTTAGATATCGGCTGGATGGAGGGATTAATTATCTCTTTATCTCATTCATTTTTGAATTTTTTGATTTCTACTGGAACGGCAATGATAGGTCTTGTTTCTGATTCAATTGCAGGTGAAGTTGTATTTTACGAAAACCGTGGAGGAGCCTTCGAATTCTGAGGCAAACACTTCGGCATCCGTCACCCCGGACGTTAGCGACAATGAGCCAGACCATTATCGATACTCTGACACCACTGACTCTGATCCGGAAAATGAACCTTTTGATGAAGAGCAGCACACGCAAATCACAAAAGTGTGAACTCTTTTTAAACAGGAGAAGAAGAAATTATACACCAGAAAAAAAGGAGAAAACTTGAATATAAACTCAAAAGAAGAACCTTTTGTCCCTTCCCTCCCCAGACGGCAATAGAATATCATCATGTCAAATGCCAATTTTAGGGAAAAAAAGGTAAATAGCCTGACCAATATATTGTTTTTTTATTTTTTTTATTTGGCACGGCCATGTACCATGCGCGAGGTATTGACACTGTTGCCCCATGGGAAAAGGTGCTGTAGCTATAAAAATGTGTTTATATATATCTATATACATACGCATATGTATATACATATATACATGCATATATAAACAAACTTTTTTTTGTGTCAAAGACAATGGAAAGAGTACCACAATCAGGAGACGGGAGTTGAAGTGTGGGAGAAGTTGGAATGAAATACTAGGACTATGCTGCTCCTTCTCCTGTCTAAACCAAGGCCAGTGCTGCAGTCACTTTGTTTCACTCCCTCTCTTCTCCTCCTCCCCTCCTTCTCCTCTCATCTTTTACTCTCCATCCTATCCTCCTTCCTTCCTATCCTCCTTTACTGTGAATGCTTCTTGTGCTCTTTGCAGGCTGTCTCACGTGACTTTTGGTCTTTGTGCAGTGCAAACTGCATGCGGGCAGTGGGTTGGGGTGGGCGGGGTTATGAAGAGGCTGTGATGATGTCTAAAGCATTGCCATTCCTGCTCCCACTGTGTATACGTTAAATTATGCAGAACAAGGCATCCCATGTAATTGTTAATGTTTTTTTTTATCCTAAGATAATAAAAATATAATACACAAAACAGCAGGGAGACAAGTGTTTGCAATAATGTCAACACTACATTTAAAGGACAATGGTGATTTGCATGTATTGGAATTGGCGTACATCCCTAATAAATGTATGCAATGTTGTCTTTTCTTAAAGAAACCCGCTTTGAGATGTGTCTTCTGCGTGGGGTTCCCCGGTGCTTTGAGTCATGCTCATACAATTACATCACAGCTTTATGTAATATTCTCCCTTTGCCATTCACAGTAAAGGAAACAACTGGAGAATCAAAAATGGATTTTTCCAATGTTCAGTAAAACGTCAAAGGCATTGAGTCTCTAGCTTGAAGCCTAAACGTATGCTTGTGAGTCGGTGGAGGAAAATGTGCACAAGTGCTGCTCTTGATGAGAAAAATGCTGTAAAGCAGGTTGTCGTTGCTGCTGTAGCTGTTTGAACAGTGACTTCCTGCTTTAAAGGTCAGCGCTGCAAATAGCGGGTGGGACCTGAGGTAGGGAAGTGATGGAAGGATTATTATTAAAAGTTCAACTGAGGCTGAATAGCAAACTTCAAACAAATAAGTGACTCAAGCAGGGAGCTGAGCATTTACACTACTTTAATGTCAATGAGGAAAAAGCTAATCTTTTTATCTTAGCAACTGTTTGCTTTTATTCATACTTGACGGCTAATTGAATGAGCTCTTATTTTTATGCATAACCCTTTTGCGTAGCTATTTTTTAGTAACTTCTTGATTTGATTTAAGAGCTAACTGACTTCTGAACTCTCATAAAAAGAGTGAAAAGCTGCCTGACCTCATGCCAAACAGCAGTGTTGCATGCAGAGTGGCCGCTGATGGTTAATCAAGGCGTTCTCCACATGAAATGAGCAGAGGAAGGAAAAGGCTAGCAGCCCAGGAGGGAGGAGCGCGAGGCCTCGGGTAGCCGGAGCCTGCTCTGCTCCAAGGCTCCCCAAGTGAAAGAGTAACAGGATTAACGACCATGTCACTGTGATAGCAGAGCAAAGAGTGGCAAGACCCTGGCTAAAGCATGGCCCTAAGTCTCCTGATAATAAAATAAAGTATGAATTAAACATACATATATAAAAAAAGATTCCACCCCCCAGAGGCAGGCAGTCACATAATCCCCCTCTGCTCTATTAAGACTCGGTCCTCGGCTCTTTCGTGTTGATAGAGACATCAAAGCCAAACCAGTGCAGTGTCAAATGAGACAGGCAGCAGTCGCAGGGGCCCGGCTGTAATTGGCTGAGCTGAGGAGGAGGGAGAGACTGGAAGATTAATAATGAATGTGCTGTGTGGAGAGAGACCAGAGAGAGATGCCTCGGCTCTCCACAAGCAGGCAAGACTGAAGTGGGCTGACTTCAGTGGAGCTCTAGAGTCCACATCTTTAGCTTTTGATTGCCCTCCTCATCACACACAGACACAGCAGCATCTGAAATATTAATCTAATCAATATACTGCTTCATTTGTATGTCTCGAGCACCAAGTTTGTTAGATTTTTCTGCATCAATCACCTCTCTAGATGAGACTAAACTGTAGAAATGAGATTTGGATGGAGAAATGTTTACTTTGGTATATTTTCATTTTAGTTTACCTCTAAAAAGTGGGTCAGATATTATACATCCACTTCTTGGAAGAAATGTGATGTTAGTAGATGATAGAAACCCATTCCCAAAAGAGAAAAGACACTTAAGATATGTTTTTATTCTACATTCGTTGAAATTGTAATAAAGATCTAGAGATTATATGCCAACCCTTTTGAGATCAAAGGTCAAAGATATGAGATGCTAGGTGTGGTTAGTCTTGCTCTTAAAGTGGTAACATGTAATGGCATATTCATTTCAATCAGAAGCAAATCTGCAAAAAATCGTTGTGGAGCTCAACTTTCTTAGTTTGACCAAACTCGGAAAATACGGCCATTACCCAATTGACCGTTGATGGAGAGCAAGAGAGTCCAAGTCGTGGCAGCTATATGTAGCATTTTAGCTTTGTTGCACTATTAACTTGTGTTGACCTTCTGTCATCAAGAGATTTATGGTTGTTTGGTTGCTGTGCTGATGTTTGATAAGTAGTTTGGTCTACTGATAGCTATCGAGACGGAAGTCAGTGGTGCAAAAAGGCCACAGTGTGTAAACGTTTTGCCCGTTAGCAGCCACACTTTATTTTCCATTTTAAATAACTGTCATTGAACACAACAGTAAACAACAAACAAAAGTAGGGCTGCAACTAATGATTACATCAATTTTTGATGATTCTGACAATTCTCAGGTGGATTAAAAGTTAGGGCTATAACATGTCCATCCCAGTTGCTCAAAGTCCAAAGTGATGTTTTTAAATGTGCTGTTTGTCTAAAACTAAATATGCTTAGTTTAATATGATATAGTCAGAAAAGCAGGAAATATAATTGTTCAGCTTTTTATGAAATGCCAGAGGTAGGTTAGCATCTCCAGGAGCTGTTATGACTGACTGGAGCTAGCCTGAGTGGAGAGTTAGCAGTTAGCTTTCCATTGCTAACAACAGGTTTCCAACCAACTAGCCATGTGTTATCAATGATCAAACAATGGTTTTCTCCTTAACCAAACCATGTATTTGTGTTACATATGTGTTCCTATCTTATTGAAAAGGCTGTTAAGTTGTTTGGAAACATAATTTTGTAGAGATACATGTAGGGTCGTCCTGCGATGACGTTACCAGTCTTACAGAACCAAATATTTTGCAAAATGCAAAGATTAACTTTGCTTTATCCATTTCTGGTTGGTGGTTGTTTGTCTCTTACTTCAAAGGCTCATAATTGCGATTTACTATCTTAAAATATTGATTTAGCATGTATCATCTATCACTACTCCTCTTTCGTTGCCTTTTTCTGGCAGTGATGGCCATCATTAGGCAATGTATCCTACTGTGAAAAGACAAAAAAAAGCCAACACCAAAATATAGAGATTTAAGCATAGTATTATGGCCAAATGAGGGGATGGGGGGTCAGTCTGGCCTACAAAGAGAAGATAAGCCCAAGCTGGTAACCCCATTTCCATTCCATCTGTTGGTAGCAGTTGTAGAGCATGGCTGCACTCACCAGGACCTGGCAACCCATCCCCCAAGCCCTCTTTCTCTGGCTGACTGCACAGCTGTGTTGCGTTTGGATTAGGCCAAGAATAAAACAGGAAGTAGAAATTAAACAAAAGCTTAAACACACACACACAGAAACACACACTCTCACACAGGCAGTGTAAGTTACCAAAGAGTCAGCAGCAGCAGCAGTGCGAGTGACAGCCAGCGGAAAAAGTGCACACACCCACACGTGTAGACCATCGTACACACAAATATACTACAGCATGAACAAAGTCATACTCTGCCTCCCAGAGACTCACATGAGCACAGCCAGGACCACAGGCATACCATTTCTCTGTGCCCACACTCATGCTCACACATATGGTCGTTTTACATGCTAAGTGCCTCTCTGCCTCGCCTCCATCTTCATGGTGGTCTGAGTAAAAACTAGCAAACACGCTCAGTCTTTGAGCATGCCAGTGTAATGTTGCTAATTAAGTAATGAGATGAGACACAAACATGTTTATATTCATAACTTTGAATGAGATAAAGACAGCATAACTAGCTCTGGTTCCTAATGCATTCAGTCTGATTACCATCAACGTCCGGAGATGTAGAAACTTAAATCTTGCACATACAAAAAAAGAAAAATCACTTATTTAAAGCTTGAATCCCATCCAGCACTTGTTTAAAGTAGACCAGGATGAATATTAACACATATTGCTTTCATCAGCATATTGTCAAAGGTATATTGTAGTTTAAGTTATTGCTTTTAATGTAAGAATCTCTTTTACATCAAACTTCATGAATACTTTATAGTTAAAGCAGCAAAAGAATCATTGTGGTTTGACACAAAATAAATCAAAGTCTGCTTATGAATGAACCACCTAAACAGCATAAATCCGAGTCCAACCTTAATAAGAATACATTAGGTGTTGGATATTATTACTTAGGTGTCCTTGTATAACTTTGGAGCTCTTAAAAGCGTTATTATTTTCACTGCTGTAAACTTGTTTCAACTTTCAGCCAATCCTCTTTTTGTGTGCAATGCACCAAAATAGCCGTGGCGACAGCACAAAGGAACTATGGTGAATGAATGAGGAAGTGGAATTGGGAAGGAGAAGGACATGTTTGGAAACACATACGTAGCTGCATGGTACGTATACATGAAGAAGCACAGACTTACTAGCTGGCAAGGTGCATAAGATAGAAATCCATTAAAGTGCTTCTCGTCATGAGTTGGACCAAATGTTAATGAATATACGGTAAATGTTTTCAGATGTTATTTTTACTGTCAAGACCTGAGTCAACTAATGAGTCACACCAGCTCTGTTTTCCTGTGTGTGTGTGTGTGTGTGTGTGTGTGTGTGTGTGTGTGTGTGTGTGTGTGTGTGTGTGTGTGTGTGTGTGTGTGTGTGTGTGTTTGTGTTTGTTGACATGCATATGCCAGCATACTTGTCAGTCTGTCTGTGTTTATGTGTGTCTTCATGAATAAGAGGCTCACATGGAAACTGTTACTGTATTGCTGTTGCTGCAACACACACACACACACACACACACACACACACACACACACACACACACACACACACACACACACACACACACACACACACACACACATGCTGGTGCAAGTGCTTATTGTTTCTATGTGATCAATGAAGAGCGCATATGTGTCCATTGTACTGAAATGCATAGCCTCAGGCCCAAAACATGGACAAATGAGCTTTACGATGGCGCTCTTCATACAGGCAGATTAGCATACGTGCACACACACATTTTCTACAACAGGAACCTGCTTTGTGTTCAAGTAACCCAGTTTTGAAAAGTGCTCGTGCTGCAGGGCTTATATGTCTCATATTGTTTTAAATCTGTGTGTATTTGAAAATGTACGTTCATACAGCAGAGTTTTTGTGCATTTATCAGACTTTGACAGGCTCTCTGTTCTCCACCTGACTTTTACCCTGAAATCTTAGAGCGGGTGTAATCCTTCCCCCGAGCCTCCTCCTTCTCCTCCTCCTCGCTCGCTTCCCTCTCCTCATCTAGTGTCACCATGAGGGTAATATGAGGCATATGGCTGCTGATGACAGTCGCTAATCCTCACGCTGATGACTGATAGTTGCTCGCACACTCCTCATCCCCATCTCATACTTATATACCAAGAACAAGGGGGGAGACGCAAGCTTGTCGGCTGATACTCTTTACTCAGCCTCCGAGTCCCTGCGCTCTCTTCCAGCTGAGAGTCATTATCTGAAATGACTGATGCGAGAGCGGCTGATGGACAAGAGAGATATTAGTGTTTGTGCTGGAGAATAAAAGTTATAAATGGTAGTGCAAGCTTTCAAAGTTTGAGAGGTGAGAAATTGCGTTTGGTTTTTATAACCTTTTTTTATCTTGAGAGTTGTAAGTGATCCAAACTCTGGACAAACTTGAATTGTTGTTCAATTGTATTTGTTACAAACACAGTGACTCTCGATTGGTCACCTTCAGCTAATGATGCATCCAGAGACCGGTGTGCAACTTTCTGCAGTTTCAGTCTTCCAGTGGTAGCTGTGTTTCCATCTGCCTGTTCTTTTTTGCACCCTTTCAATTTGCAAAAATAGTTAGCTGAGGTTAAACATTTTTTTTAAAAGGTACAAATGAAAGTGTGCCTAAGTGTATTGGAAACAAAATCAGCAAATAAACGTTAAACTACACTGAATCTTTCTTTCCACTAAATGGACTATGGCTTTTAAAGGACTAAGAGCTCTTTTTAAAGCCATTGTCCATTTGGCTATAATTTAGTTTTTTCCCACTGCTTTTTTGTTCCCCTCTTCCAGATTTTATGGTAAAATAAGCTAACAAAAAAACTAAAGTCTCAAGCTATTCCTTTGAACATGTGGATAAGAATGGGTTTAAAAAACCAACCAATAGTTGACACCCTAGACCGGCAGAGCTACAGCAACCGAGATAGTACGCGATGAGATAAGAATATTTAAGTTTGTATTTTTGTGTTTTGGTCTTGTGTAAACCAAAGGGTCTTTACCATCTTGTCTGCAAATGTTTAGGGATAAATCTATTTTGGAGACAAATTGGCAATGGACATTTCTGGTGTGTGAATGTACATTCTTGTACAAACAAGTGACATTTTCTGGAGGACTAGTGGATGTCAGTCACGAGAGTGGGTCCATCCTCTCATTTAGAGGCTGCCAGTCAGCCAGCCACTCAACCAGCCCTGCAACCAGCCAGCCAGAGCTTTTTAAAGGGCCTGTGATTTGACACAATCCCGTGGGGGGGAGAAGGGGGGATTAGGATTAGCAGCTGTTTCCCCTCAAACACTGAGAAGATACGCTATAGCTACACCACGCTGATGGCAAATTAATAGATGAATAGAACATGTGTGCGTCGTCTCAGATAATGTGCTGAAGCTCCCCATTTCATAAATAGCGAAGAAGGTGTCCTTTTTCTGAACCCGGCCTGGTGGATCTGCTGTCACACACATACTGAGTAGCAGGGAGGGAAGCAAAGGCATATTGCAGCCGTGAGAAAGGTTTAAAACATCATCACTTTAATCTGAGAGCACAAAGCCAGCTACAGATTATGCTTCTGCCTCTCAAACGAATCTGCAGCAGATCCGGTTTACATGACCCCCGCTAACACCCTCAGAGACAGGGGCTTTTAACCCCAAACAAACACTGATAGCAGGCGGGCATCAAATGAAACACACAGCGAGCACACACATCCATGCCATGCACATGTACCCACACACAGCATCTCAAAACACACACAGAGGACACCCATAGCACATGCTCAAAGAGGTAGACAATAACAGATAAACACACAGGCTTATGTCAGTTCCACTTGCATCCATTTCAGGCTATTAAAGAAGACACAAAAAGCCCAAACTGTTGCGTGGCTAACAGGTTTTGAGGTAAAAATTAAGAGGCAGCACACATTAGGACCATCCCTGCTGTCACAGCGAACACCTGTAGTGAGGACACTGCTGTGATGCTGTCAAAACAAAAAGGGCACAAATGCAAGTGTGAATTATCAAAAGATTTTCATCAGGATCATAGAGAAAAGTTCTAAAAATGAGAAACTCCTCCGCTGCTGACCTTGTGTGAACCTGTATTAAAGGAGCTGAAGCACCCTGATGTAACACACCAGAATAATTTTTTACTCTTTTAAACTGGAGCACCAACCACACAATTAGCTGCCTGTGAGTTAATGACTAGTCTTCTCTATCGCTTGTTAAAAAATAACCAAAGGCCACATTGAATGCAGAAAGAACCCATTCGTATTCCTGTCAGGCATTTCTGTCCAACTATTTCAACTCAAAAGATTGAAATACTCTGTGTAATTTACAATATTTTCTTTTTAAAAAGCTGTCTCATTTATATTTGATAGGCAATATGCATAATGTAAAGCTATCTACATTGAAGTAGAACGTAACCTTTGCTAAGGAGAGACATGCAAGAGTGTGCAAATGGGACAAGGGAGGATTCCGGATATGGGAGAGAAAAACAATATTAAAATTGAGCGAATTTCGACGGCGGTTCGCCACAATACACTTGAGACCTGGTGGATGAGTCAGAGAGGAGATGGCCATGTCAAAGAAAATTGCGAAAGAAAAAGAAGGAAGGTGGGAGTTGGTAAGCCCAAGTAGCATTTTGTTTGACCTTTGCTCTTCATTTTGAGCTCAGAGAAGACAATTATTTCATCAATGTCAGTATATCTGAGTCAGCCACTGGAGCACCACAGCTCATGGAAAACGTATCCTCCGGCGTGACAAGGTTGTGTTTTTCCTTTGCCAGTTTCTGCCCAACACTTCAGTAAGCCTCATTCTAATTGGTCCCACTCCCACTCCAATTTATTTTTTTAAATTTTTTTTATTTTTTTTCACACTTTACGATTGCAAAGCTTAACCACTTAAACCGCATGGAAAATGTACACACACCCTTAAATAACGGTGACGCGCGGGCACGTGTGTGCGAGTGTATGTGTATGAGAGTGAAAGAGGGAGAAAGAGAGAGGTAAATTAAGTTTTGAGTGAGAGCACACCCTGATGTTTCCTGTCCCCAAATGTGGGCATTACACATATAGTGTGTGTGTGTGTGTGTGTATGTGTTTGGAAACCTCAGTTCTCCAGGTGTACATTTCCATTTTTGACATCTAACACATGACATGAAAATGTGCAATCAGCTACGGAAGTCTATGTTTTCAAAAAATGCAGATATATTTAAAATACATTTCAGTGCAACCACACACATAGATCACATACATTGTCAGTTAAAGTGCAACTTAGTTTCTGCGTGTGCTCCAGTACAATTCACATAAATCATGACAAGAGGACATTTCTTAAAGCCCCCATATGTTCATATCTGCAACATACAAACCCAGATTTGATAAGACTGAATAAAAAGCATCAAACACACATTCAGTTTCAGCTCTCATCTCTAGATGTCTTACATGTCCTGATGCAATACAGGAGACAGAAACATGTCATTTCACATAATCTAACATCATGCACTTTCACCCATGACTTCCATCAGATAGAAATTGACAAAGAGCTGAGGTTTCATGTCTGTTCACTTCCTCTGTGATTTCTAGTGAGAGGGTGTGCACTGCACGCATGTTACTGTGTGTGATAGAGTGAAAAAGAAAGGCCCCTATCTGTGCTTGAACACTCACCGTTACCACAAATAAGTGAGTGTGATTCATCACTTCCTTCCTATTAAGCACAAGCAGTGCAAGAGTGGAGGGTGTAAACCAAACGCTTCAGTTCAGAGCGCCACTTTCTCCGCCCCTCTGCACATACAGTATGCACTACTATTGCATGCACCTGCACATCTCTATTTGTTGCTATATGTATGGCTGCTCCATTTAAAGTCGACCAATTGATGGTTTTGGTCATGTTTCCATTCTCAATAACTTTTGTTTCAAGAAACTTCTGTTCACATCTCTGTTAAACCCAAGATTCAAACTATCGCTTTAGCATGATTCTTTGTGGAGCAACTGAGTTCTACAGAGCTGTTAATTATACCAATTAAAACATTTGATTGAGTTTTATTAGAATCTGAATATATGTTGTGGATGACAGCCCCAACAAAATGCTTGTTTTTACTTGATATAATGTGCATTTACTATGTATAGGTCAACTTTTCTAAACATTTAAGT